TACAGGTCACTGAAGACGCTGACAGACGCATAAACGCTAGATCGATACCTACAGCCTTCCTAGTCGCTTTCTATACTTTCCTATGCCGCTTTAATTGCTGACAGTCCCTCGGAGTGCTGCCGCAAAATATGACCATACTCCAAGCCTCATCGTGAAAGCAACAGGAATTCTCTTATATGAATCAAAGTTTCCGGTTCATACCTTTTTCTGCCTTGGAATTTATGCGATTTACGTAACCAGACCTTAAAAGCCGACGATATCGGGTAATTACCTTGCTAGTTGTTCCCACCAAACTTCCGACTTTCTCGAATTTGCTATCGCCCATGCCTGGTCTAGGAGATGTTTGCGGGTTTTCGACGTTACCCAGAAAGGCAAGGCTCTTCTTGGGTTTTCTTCCATACTGGTCGCCCGCGCCGAAATACTTCTCAAATGTGCTTTTGGTTTACCTTTTTTTATTCACAAACTGTTTTATGTCCTTAAAATATCAACAGTGCGCGTCTTTTAGGGGAGATGGCATTCACAGTGCGAGATATTCGTGCAGCAGTGAAGGTTCATCAGATGCGTCGTAAGCTTCAAAAACGCTACCATAGTGATCGATCGAACAGCCAGTTCACGTACTATTCGGCCGGACTACTCAGCAACGACGATCCTTTCCCAGAGCACCAGTCGACGATTTTGCGAAATCTGACCGCAAATCGATCGGAATGAAGTCATTCTCAACGTGATAAAAATGTTTTTGTAGAAGTTTTTGCTTAGCAAATGTACATAACATATGAGCCCAGTGTTGGTTTTGTTAGTTGTTCATTTAATATACAAATGAAGCTTGATCTCGTTTAAGTTTTCCGCACTCTAATCTGGTAGAATTACCGGTCCTATCTCTTACTTGTGTAATATTGTGTTTATTTTTGCCATTCAAGCTCTTCTCTATTGTTTATGGCTTTCAGAGCATGGTGGAGTCGGCTTTGGTCGGGCATTTGCTCGACCCGCGCTCTCCATTGAACATCGAAAGCCTCCTGGTTAGTTTCTGACTTTATATTGGAACTTTTGTCCCGTTTTTTTATGAAAATAACTATCCATTGGCTTCCAGGATGCCATCACTGCTCTACTAATTGATTGCAAAATTCCATCATTAATGCGTATAAAAAGCATTGACAGCTTCATCACTAGGTGTAAGTTTTCTCCCTTGTTTGCTGCGAGGAGACCCTCCAGATTTCATGGTTCTATTACAGATCAACAGGTTATCGAACAGGTATCGCAACACAGGTTGAAAGGTTCCGACTTCCGATTATTAAAAGTAATAGGCCGAGGAGCCTTTGGAGAAGTGCAGCTCGTGCGACACACCCAGACGAATTGTGTCTATGCCATGAAGCTTCTCAATAAGGACGATATGGTATGGGTCTGAAATTTGTTTATTTATGTATCCGATGCACGATGTGCCACTACAGCTATCAGGCAACCAGTAAAGTTCGTGCGGTTTTTTTGTCTACTTTTATGAAGTATATTCAGTAAACTGGATCTAGTGGTAGGGTAACTTTGAATACATGTTAAGACATATGTCAAGGAGTGTCATTCAGTGTATTTGTTAATTTAGATTACTTTCAATTAAGGCGAACAGAAAAGGTGTGGTTTTCCACCAGGACAATGCAAGACCACACACTGCAAGAATCACTCAGGAAACAATAGCGCGACTAGGATGGGAAATTCTACCTCACCCTCCGTACTCGCCAGACCTTGCTCCAAGTGACTATCATCTGTTTTTGGCCTTGGACAACCACATGAGGAATCGGCGATTTGAAAATGAAGTGGCTTTGGACAAAAAACATTTCTTTAATTCCCAAAAGCAAGATTTTTACAAAAAAATATATGCTCTTGTGTCTAAATGGGAAAGTGTATTACTTGCTGAGGGTAATTATTTTTCTAAATCTAAGTTTAACCGTTTTTTATGTTATTATTTCGCTACCTTCAAAACCGCACGAACTTTTTTTGGTTGCCTGATAGCTTTTTGGCTCTACTTTGTCCCACGTGGAACGAACACATTCAGTGTCAAAGTACTGAAAATTACAGAAATAGTCTTTTCACTGCGGATGGTGCGGCCCGTCAAGAGGGGATGAGTGTGGCGCAGCGCCAGCTCGTTTTTTCTTTCAGGACGCGACGAAAGAACCGTTCATATCGTTCGCCATCAGAGCTAACTATTGTCGCTCACCCTTTTCAACAACTAGGGGAAGCGGCGGACGGCGCGCTAAACCCAGCCTCACTGATTTTACCTGACGCCCCATTATTTGCTGCGATCAGTACTCGTGTAACGCTTCCGCTTCGCGACAAGAACCGAAAGCAAAAGAAGACAGTCTTGCAACAACCCCTATAGTCCTGTAAATCGCAACCGTATTTTTATGTATCGTAAATGCGTGCAAAGTCTACTAAATTGCAGACAGATTTTCTTCTAAGCTTTAATTCTTTGAACAGAAGATGCACGTGTACAGCGCGCTAACAATGAATACGCGGAAGTGTTTTCCCGGCCGACTTCGACTTAGGGGAGATACATTTCGCGCTTTCTCCACTTTCCGCCCTTGTGCTCATTGTTTCACAAAAGTTGCCCGGTGTTCCTTACAGGGCTTGGCAAGTAGTCTCTATAAACTTTGACTAGTATTACTTTATGGACATGACGATGGACAGTAGCGAAACTGCAGAATGCCCCCACCCTCGCAGCCGAATTGTGCCAGTTTTCCTTTAGGCAAAACTTTTGAAGAAATGTTTGTTGGCGGACTTGTGTTTCGCTCAGCTGTAACTTCGACTTATTTTGTAGTAGTTTTTCTTTTTATGATCATTTCTTCTTCCAATTGTAGATCAAGCGATCCGACTCAGCGTTCTTCTGGGAGGAAAGAGACATCATGGCGCATGCAAACTCTGACTGGATTGTTCGGCTTCACTATGCTTTCCAAGTAAGTTGTGTTCGAAAATCCAATTTTAATGTGCTTCTCGTGCTTCCCTACTTTTCTAAATTCATCACCCATTGTTGCTTATTAGGTATGAAATGTAGAAAACATTTTTACTTCCAGGATCAACGATATCTATACATGGTCATGGAGTATATGCCCGGTGGTGATTTAGTGAATTTGATGACAACGTTAGTTCTTTTCTTTGTTTTCCCGCTACCTTTTGTGTTAATAGTATCTTTTTACAAAGTGTATCTCACAAATGAACCGAAAATACTTGCTTTAGGTACGATGTGCCTGAGAAATGGACAAGATTCTATGCTGCTGAACTTGTCGAAGCCCTCGCTGCACTTCATTCGATGGGTTACATTCATAGGTCAGGCTGAATACCTCCTACAATCCCGAGCTTCTTTGGAAAGCCCTGGACAGAAAGCTAAAATCCCTGTTTCCAGAGATGTCAAGCCAGATAATATGTTGATCTCTCGAAGCGGCCACATAAAACTTGCAGATTTCGGCACGTGCGTAAAAATGAACAAGAACGGAGTTATTAAGTGCTCAACAGGTGAAAATTATGGTTGTTCCTCATTTATAATTTCTCATTTGTTTCTTTGGTAGTTAAATGAAGGAGCTATCATAAAGGAGAAGTTTTCGTCACTTTGAAATAAGCCAATCCGTTTTCAGCCGTCGGTACTCCAGACTACATTGCCCCTGAAATTCTGCAAAATCAGGGCAAAGAAGCTGAATTTGGCACCGAAGTCGACTGGTGGTATGTTTACAAGGGAGCAGTTCTCTGCTTTCCTTTTTTCTCTACTGTCATGGTGCTCCTTAAGGTCATAACTGAGGACCACTAAGCTTATCTCTAGACTACCATTAACGAGTTTTCGAAGATACAGCGCTTACGAACTTAGAACAAAACACCATTCTCCCATATTTAAGGGCTGTTGGAGTATTTATCTACGAAATGTTGATTGGAGAAACCCCATTCTTCGCAGAAGCTTTAGTATCGACCTACTCGAACATCATGGATCACAAAAACAGTCTTCGTTTCCCCGATGAACCTGCTATTTCAGCTCATGCAAAGGTCCGCTTATCATTGTGAGGTGTTGTAATGTTGTTCCTTTGGAAATTTATGCAATTGTTTTCAGGATCTCATACGAAAGTTCCTGTCATCTGCCGACGTACGATTAGGGAAATCAGTAGATGCAATTCGAGCACATCCGTTTTTCAAAAATGATGAGTGGACCTTCGAGACCCTTCGTAATGGTATGTGCTACAAGATTCTATCACAGCTGTTATGGTTGTAATTTAACTTTACAATTATTTACGTATGAATTATCTTCAGCTACTCCTCCAGTTATACCTGAGTTGAAAGGCGATGACGATACTACCCATTTTGAGGTAGGTATGACAACTTTTTAGGTGCCATTCACCGTTCACTGCTTCGCGCTTCAAAAATCAGGCCAAATTTCGATTGGGATTTTCTTTGAGGGAAGTATAGATAAAATTTTATTCCGGTTCTGTTTTTTGCACGCCAGAGCACAAACTCGCGCTATAGGGGCCCAGGAATTTTAGCTCCGCGGGCGCTAGGCGCTTTAGTCCTGAACGGATGTCCTATTCACGTTCGTATTCATATTCATAACAGTGCTCTAGTAGTATCTACCAATGGGGGAAATTTCAATTAAAATCTGGTCTGAATCCCTAAAAGCGGAAAGCAAAGTTGAATGGTGCCTTTTTATTGCAGTTTTTTTTTATTTTTATACGTCGCTAATGCAATAGTAGTTAATTGATTTGTTTGTCTATGGAATACCCTTCCCACTTATGTTCAGGACATAGAAGCGAAGCCGATGAACGAGTCTTTCCAGCTACCAAAGACTTTTATAGGGAATCAATTACCGTTTATTGGATTTACCTACTCAAATGAACTCAGGTAAGAAATGTGTATAGTTCAGACTCCCTTTGTTCTATTATTTATGTTTGTGACGTACCGTCATCGCGGAGGATGCTCTTGTGCGTGAAACTAGCGTCTCTCGTGTTAATGTGCTTTTCTTGAAGTTTCCAATGTGTTTTTTATTTATGTAGGATCATATCGAAGTTTGTTAGTCAAGTAGCGGTCCGTTCCAGTCCCATCCTGAAAATCCAAGAAGCGTTCGATTCGGTAAGTTTGCATCTCGGCAGGTCTGTTAGCCACCGTGTGTCCAAAGAAAACAGCCTCCGTAGTTTCAAGGGTAGCAGAGTACCGGATTGCGAATTCGAGGTTTGTATGACCATAAGCTTCTATATCGTAATCAGGGCACGGTCGTACGCTGAAGATCTCCTGCGGAGGGTCTGCTCGTACATTGTTTTTCACTTCATTTTAATGGTTGGATTTCGCGGTATCTATTCTCAGTTTCTTTCGGCCGCATATATCCCGCGCGGTCCCCAATCTGCATAGCGCTTTTTCTGAGGAAAGAAATTGGAGTGTTTTTAGAAGCCCAGGAGAACTGGTAAAACTGAACATTGCGACTGGGGAAATTTAGGAAGATTCAAAAATGTGGATAGGAAGCGGGGGAGGAGTTACCCTAGAGGTGGTACCTGAAGGTGTTGTTCCTGCAAAATTTCTCCGTAATGGCAGGACGTGCCCTGATCGTACTGTAGTGTATATTGTGCTTTCGAATGGGAATAACGATTCATTATTGATGGTGAGTAGAGTCCTTGCAGGAGGTGAATCGTCAGCTTAGTGTTGCACAAGCTGCCCTAGTTGAATCCGAAATGAAGTTGCGATCTCAGCTTGAGGAGACGGGTAAGAAAGAGGAAACCATTCGTAAATTGGAGAGCGAAGTTGCACGGTATGTTAACAAATCATCATTCTCAGTTCTCGATCATTTGACCGAAACCATAATTGTGCAGGTGTACCGATAACCTGCGAATCACTGAAAATGAGATGATGCAAATGCAAGAACGCCTGCGGCAACTGTCGGAATCAGCTAACGATCGTCGGATGGAGCAGGAATTGCGAGTACAGCGCGAGGTTGTCCGCAGTCTTGAGGAAAAATTAGCCAAGGTTACTCTTCCTGTAAACTCTTTGCTGCGTATTATTAGTGGAGAGCGACAGTTGGGCTTACGTAATTCTGATATTATCTACAGGCTCGTGATGACGAGGCAGCTGCTAAGCTCGAAGTGCGTGAGGTGCTCAATAAGCTTGCAGAAGAGAAGGAAGCGAGTCGGAGGCAGGTCATGACTATTGGGGTGAGTTCAGCGTCAATTTTCAGATTGAAAAACTGCGTTGACATTATGCCTTGCAGGATCAGAAACGAGAGATCGAGGCGTTACGAATGAAGATTTCTGATCAGAGTTCTAAAGAGGATGAGCTCACGAGAAAATTGAAAAAGGCACTCGAGGATAGAAAGGAGAATGGCATTTTTCCAGGTAAGGAATAAATTTTGAGTCCATCTATTCCTTGCTATAATGCGATTTTGATGAGCAGTGATTTGCGCAGTTGGCAGGAACGTTTCATATTCAGGAATCTCTTTCGCTTGCCAAGCAGTCCGAAATGGAAATGGAAAAGCGGTTGGAACAAAC